TGAAGCTGTAGCACTCTGCCTGGCATGACTGGGTATTCATTGAAACAGAGGCAATAACTACATAGCCTAGAGGGGACGGCACTCTGCTAGTGAGCTGCATGAACTTCCTGCTGCAAATCGGGAAGCGTGAAGTTTCAAGTCAACATCTCCTACATCCCAGAAGAGTGTGCTAAGTTCAGCTCTCTTGGATATATCCAAACCATTTCCAGCCAGCCACAAGGAGGGATGTCTTTTGTGGGAGTTGATCATGGTCTGAATCTGCCTGTCAGAGCAGGCCTTGAAGCTTTGCTGGGAAGGGGAATGGCTTGTTGGAGAATCCCACCAGGCTTTACACAAGTGAGGGCTCTAAGTAGCTTGCTGGCATCAGGATTTAGGTGGTTTTGTATATGTCCGTTAGCAGAAACATAGACCCTACAGGGTTAGGTGACACTTAAGACAGTCTTTGAGGATCTAAATGGCCTCTAGATGTTAGAAGCTCACAAGACAATTAAGGACCTCAGAGCATGTATATTCTGCTAATATGCTGAACCAGGCAGTGTTGTGCTGAAACGTATCACAATGAGCTGGAAGGGGTGCAGCTGTATATGAATAGTGCTGCAGATGGAAGAAACAGCAGGATTAATCAGCTCTTGCGCCATTGCACTGCAATCACTACTCTGCTTTTGATTTGGGGTAGCACATATAGAGCAGTGCAGTGTATTTGAGTCCCTTCATATTTTCCAAAATATTCTCCCTTATGTTTGCTGTAAAGTGTTACCATTACCACAGCTAACAACCCTATTTGTCCTGCTTTCTCACATACAGCTTTTGCTTGATGCTGAAACAGTACGACTACCCAAATTGCCTCAAGGGACAACGGGTGGACCTGGTTGGTCTCAGGGACTCTATGAGATCTGCGTTTGTCCAGATGGAAAGCTTTATATGTCAGTGGCTGGCGTGAGTTCCACTTGCCATGAATACAGTCATGTCTGTCAATAAAACACCTAAATATACCACATGTTTTCAAGCTCTATATTGTTTTATATTGTTGGGTGACAAACTATTACTGATAGCAGAGTTTTCAGGATTTTAAAAACAAAGGCCACACTTTAGGAAACAAATATGTATGGAGAAGTCTAGACTGGAAGGGGGAAAATATGCAGGAGCACAATTAAAATTTAAGTTCAGAAGAAATGTGCCAAATTAAATGTTCTGGCAGTGACTTCTGGAAGTCAGCCATACAAAACAGCATAAGAAAAATAATCTGAAAAGATTTGTTTGCAACACTGAACTGTTAGTCAGACAGTTATGTAATTAATTGTTAGTGTTTCCTAGTTGTATGGTTTTCTCTTAACACATGTAAACTTTTGCTAGTAACACAAATTGCATTAGTGTGAGAAATTCATCTTAAGGAACTACTTGAAATATTCGGTAAGACAAAAGCATTACTTGGTGAATTCAGATAGTGCCAGCAAATGGTCTATGCAGTTTTTTTCTTGCAATAACATAAAACATGAGTATTTTGTGAAAAAATATGTCAATTTGCTATTGGCACACAAGGTTCCTTGCGTGAATCTGATATCTTTTATTAGAACAACCCAAATAGTTGGAAAATAATTATTAAGCAAGCTTTCGGGTTCAAAAACCCTTCGTCAAGCTAAGGAAGTTTCAGCAGTTGGTGTGTGCTCTTCCCGGATAGAAATTTGCTATTATCTTTTTTCCCATTTTGGCTAAGTATGTATGTTTGCTTTTTCATATAAATATCTGAATAATTCATACACAGTCTCCAAGAGATGATGAAGTCTAGTATTCTCTGTTTTCATAGCTGTTAACTTTACACAAGAAAATATGTTGTGTATTCCACTTAAACAACAATTCCTTGTGCTGCATATAACATGACACTCACTTTAAACTCTTACATCTTTTAAGACATGGTTATTTAAGTGAAACAGGGAAATTTGTTTGCCCTTGGGAAGATGCCAAGACTATTAAAGAAAAAATATGACAATGCCTTCAGATTTCCCCAATACATGGAGTTATTTTGGAGCCCACAATATTTCATTAAGATGAACATTGCATTTCCATCTGTAACTCTTTACTGATATTTTTTTGTTTCTAGCAAAGAGGTACAAAAGTTGAGTACTTCTTTTAAATGATTTTGAGGAAAGGGTCACCTTTATTTTTAAATACTGGTTTTAGATATACAGTTGAAGATCTCCCTGGTTACCAAAGTATTTGTAAAATGCAGAGGTCTGTACCAATAAACAAATGACACACCTACTTTGCAGGATAAGGGACCATTAATGGCCTATTATGTAGACCCTGGAGAGTCTACATTTAACCCCTTTAAAGCTTATTTGTATATGTGTCTATTATTTAAGAGTTCCTGTCACTGTAGTGCCTTGGTGCTTATATGTAACTAAATAATAAACAACTTACTAAAATATAAAAGTGCACCTAGCTTGAGGGATGTAAAAGGCACTGTCTTATTGTTTAGAACTTGAGAAGCAGCACAAAACACAACGCAGACAAAGCAAAAGCAGATAAAGACCTCATGTCATTTCCTTAAAATTATTACTTTGGCTCTTTTAGATGATCAAAAGAAACACATTTGTGAGGCTACAAAAAGCAAAGTTGCCTGCCTAGCTATTAACAGGAAGATCTCCCAGTTGGTTTTACCAATCTAATAGCAGGTACAGCCTTGGATGCTCCTTGCTTCAAGGGCTGTTTCTGTATTTTATCCAAGGTTTCAGTAATGTGTCTTATTAAACAGTTCTCTGAATATGGACTGAAGCTCAGGACTTCCTCCTCCTAAGTGAGTACCTTGACCTTTGGTATAAACAGTCCAGCAGGCATTTCTTTCTAGCCCAGTTCATATTTCTTTTTTTTTTTTTTTGTAAAGTGGAACAGTTTCAATGGGAGTGGTGGAGTCTGCTCTTCCCCTTCCTTCTATCCCCAAGGATAACCTGGTGGTTCAGCCATTCCTGTGGGACATGTGCACCGAGGCAGGAAT